GAACAATGTGCTTGAAAATAATTACTGTACACCATTAATTGCTCTAGATATACAGTGATGTAAATAAAAATGGAATTAGTTATTTTCCTCACTATATACACCTGAAAATTTTATAAGATCTGAAGAGCCAAAAGTACTCGACCAATCTTATCCTCAGAGCCACAGACAAGTACTTGAAGAAGCTACCATTCCATTTTGTTCCTCAAAAAGATTGTCTGATATTTCTTCTGAGCTTCTATTTATCCTTTTAAACCGAACACTTGAGAAATTACTTTTTTATTAATAATGAGTTCTAAAATGTGTTTTTATAAAGTAAATGTAGGATAGTTAGCCCTTTTAAAATGTGGTCGTCTTGTGTTTGATAATGCAAAGCCTTTAATAACATTTAAAATATTGTTTGTTTAACATTTTAGATATTGTTGAAAAAGTTGTCACACCATATCAGATCAAAGGCTTATGTAGCCTGATGTATCTCTGAGACTGGCTAGTAGTGGATGTCTAGAGAAAACCGCAAGAACCAGGATACTGTGGTGATACTACCCTGGTATATTCTCCAGTTTCCAACAATATGTGGCTTGGGATTCGGAGAGTGTTGGGTGGTATCTATGTGGGTAGCCTTTGATGAATTTTAATCTTCCTTGAAACGGTCTAATGGCCTTTGAAATGTAAGCTTTTAACACAGTGTTTGATCAAAATGAGTTTTATGCTGGAATTGCACGTCTTGAGAAATACGTTCTTTTGTTTTGAATCTTTTCAAACCAGAAAGTTTTACTTGTTATCCCCTTGTACCAGAAGTAACAACAAACAATTATACCCTGTTTACTTTCTGATACCATTAATGATTTTTATAGATTCGCCACGTTAATTCCTGAGTTGCCCTTTCTACTAAGCTGTTTAGCCACTATTTGTTATTGAAGACCATTCCCTCTCTCTGCTAATTTTTGTAACCCTTTTCTATGTCATTTCTATTTCTACCATGTCTTTTTGAGTTGGTTGAATCAGAATGATAGGAAGTAATCAAAGTCCTGGCACAGTGTTTTTATGCAGTGACATAATGATATTGATTTCTGTTGGGTTTTTTGTGGGGCGTTCTTGGGTTTGTGGGTTTTTTTGTTTGTTTGTTTTTAAACCTGTGAGGGCTTGGTAGCATTTTGGCCAATGCTGAGCTGATATTTTATAGAATCACCTATTACAGCTAAGTCCATTCCTGAAGGATAATGATTCAAAGGTCATCTATACACACTGATACAAACTGATTTTTCATCTTTCATTTTATTTCTTCATTAGACAGTGTCTTGATGTCCTTCAGTTCATTGCTGTCAGCTTTTGTACTATATGTGCAGACTTTGTTACCTCACTTTCCACCTTGTTTTCCAAATCACTTATGAATATATTAAACTGTATGAACTCTACCATGAGTCCCAGTGAAGTCCCTGATCATTCTTTCCACTTAGAAACTGATTGCCTAGTCTTACTGTAAGTTTCTTCTCTTTTAACAGGGTGGTGGCTCGTATGGTGAACTAACTTTCTTCTTCCATGCAGCTTAGTTTCTTTGAAGCATTTTGAGGACCTTGTTGAACGCCATTTGGAAATCCATGTTGACTAGATCAACTGCATAGCAATTAGAACTGGTTGTCTTTTTGCCTGGGTGTTTGTTTACATCTTCAAAAGAACTTTAATAAATGTATGAGGCACAATTTGTCTTTCCAAAAACCATGTTAGTACACTTCTACCTTGATTACATTCATCCTTATGTCTGCAGTTCTATTTCACCCTGTTATTATTTCTGTCAGTTTGCCTGACATGAATGTCATTTTTTTTTTTTTTTCCTAGACTGTAGTTGCAGGGATCCCTGCTGTAGCCCTTGCAAAGAATTCAGTTTACTGTTTTCTTTTTCCATTCCTTTGCTACAAGATGTTTATAAGTGAGAGGTTACATACTACTGTTAATAATTCAACTATTGCGTTCTTGAACTTCTTTAGAACTGTTCAAGAATATCATCTGTTCCTGGTGACTTGTTATATTAATTTGTGGATTTGTTTGATAGCCTGTTCTACTAACACTGTTGTTTGAAACAGATCAACACTTCCTCTGGTAAAGAAGGCACCTGATTTCTGAGTCTACTTAAGCTCCTGTGTTGTGAACAACCGTTTGAAAAAAAGAAAGTCGGTATTTTCCTTGCAAAGTACTCTAAACAATTCTTATATACTCTGATCATTTGTTGACCTTAAAGTCTCTAGTAAGCTATCTTTGGATAAAAGGTTTAGTATTAATTTTTAAGTCTTTAACATACCAGAATTTGCAGTCTTACCTGTCTGATCATTTTATCATGATTGTGACTTTTTGAAAGGATACCTTCTTTGGTAATTATAATAGTCGCCTTTACCTCGTGTTTTAATTAAGAGCATGATATCTTTCCAGGTGGCATGGAGCCCACTTCTCTTTTAAAATAGTTCCTCTTCTTGAAATCAATCACAGCTGTAGTGAATTTTTTTACTTCGTTGCTCCTAGAAGGAGATTGTATCTGAGTATATTATGCAGACTGTTATAAAGTGGTCCTCCAGCAGAAACTTTTTGATCTAAGATCTGCAAACTGCTTATGATTAAGTCAAAAGTTTTTCATAGTAGCTTTTCTCTTAAGCAGTAATTTTATGATGTCTGTAGCATCTGTTTATTCTCATCACAATTCCCAGCATAATATTTACCCATCAGTAGAGGAATATTTGAAGTCTCCTATTATTTTTTCTTTCCTCTGCCTTTACAGACTTTTTGATTTCACTTAGCGTGTTGCAGCCAGAGTCAACCATTTTCTGGGTGATTGGTAGTATAGATGTAAGAATACACTTTCCCACTTAAACTTCAGACTATCAGGGTTTTATAGTAATTATTCCTGCAGCTAACTAGGCTTGCTTCACTTATAGAAACAATGCTCTGTGGGTTGGGCATGGCCTGTTCTGTTTCGTATAATGTGGGTTCTTTTTCTTTGTGCTGTGATCTGTGAAGATTGAAGAAACCACTATCTTCCTGAAGGCAGTCCCATGCTTTTGCCAAGCTGAAGCAAAAGCTATATAAAGCTTTCTGAAAGATCTGTAGAAAATGACATGTGGGATTCTGACATTACTTTCAAAAAGAACTGATCTGCTTAGAACTCACCTTGTCACAGGTACATTAGATGGAAAAGCCTGAGAGAGGTACTACATATGTTTTCCATTTTATTAGTAATATTCAATTTTCAAATAGTTTATCTTGTGTACTTCCTAGTCTTAAGTGGAATTTTCCTGCCTACAAACAAAAACCCTTCTGCAAAATAACTAGAGAAAATTTTTCAGCATTTTTAATACTATGTTAGAATTTTTGTATCTGGAAGTGCATGCTCCAGGCATATCTCCATGACTGTGTGAGTTTGGAAGTTACTGCAAGTTGGGAAGCCTTTTCTCTAAACTTGAAATGAGTTGGAATGGAATAAAAAAACTAACTTAAATGAAAAAGAAGTTAAGATGAAAGAAGGATTAAACAGAGAAGAATAATTTGGGAGAAGGTGGGTGTGGATAGCATCTCAGAGGAAACATGGTAGATTTACAGATTGGAGAATTGGAAATATAGATTATTTTGGAAATTGAGTATAAACGGCATATATATGCCTTTTACAAAAGGTAAAAATGTTACACTGCAGAGAAAGAGGAAGAGAGATGAGAAGTACTTTAGAAGATTTTGGACATGCTGATCAGTTAAATCTTGAATTTCGTTCTAAGTAGAATGAGAAGATGCTTACAGTCATTGAATGATGTTTTGCCAAGTAGAAAATGAGTTGAGGTCATTTTGCATTTTTTTAAAATGGTGCTGTGTTTTTAGATGAGAAAAGGTGTTACTTTTAAGAGTATTTTTTGCATTTTTGTAGTTTTAATAACACTTGTCAAAATGGGTTTGATAGTTTTAAAGCAGAAGAAAAATATTTCTAAAAAATTAGCTTTCTAAAGTCATGCCTGATTTTCAAATGTGTGAGTATAACAGTGCCACATAGGTTCTATTTGAAATCCCCCTCTTTTCTACCTTGTAAATGTTCAGTGTTTCTTCTTATCTGTTTTAGCATGTACAGTGGAAGGGTAAAGAGAGAAGTGTTGTCTTGCTATTTTAAGCAAGAAATAAAATTTTGGGTTTAATTTTAGATGGGCATTTCAGAGGCCACTATAAATTTAAGAGTAAGATATACAATGGATTGTTTATTTAGAAATTAGTGCTTACACTCTTTGCAATGCTTGCAAGTTGCTTAATTGGTATTACAACTGCTAATAGGACAATCTACTTGCAGTTAGAATATATTGTTGGAATGGCTCTTCTGTTACAAGGTGGGAGTCATAAAAATGGAGAAGAGAGTTCATAAAAGTGGAAAAAATGAAGATGAATTTGTAGTTGAATAAAAGCTCTTTGTCAATAGCAAAGGAGACTATTAAGTTTACCACAGAATGATTTTTGAACTATTTTAATGTGTGAAATGACACACGAATTGGTAAATAATTTTCTTAGAAAAAGCAGTGTTTCTTCCAGCCATTGCAAACCCGGAATTAATTGCATATTATTTATGTGGTTCATTCTTGAGCTCAGCATATTTATTGTGGAAAGTTAAAAGCTTTTTTTCTTTTTCTCCTTGACCGAAAGTAGTAACATTGTCTGTCATCACTCCTGAATGTTAATGACAATACATTTAGCTTAATTGTAATCCAATATATTGTTGTGTATCAGAATTATAATTTCAGATTTTTTTTAATTCTTTTCACAGAATGTAAACCAAGAATGATGCAATATTAATGCTTTCTATACACAGCCCCATAAGGATCTTCTCTAAGGAGTTGCAGTAAGATAAATACTGAGAATAACTTTTCTCCGGTACAATGTGGTGAAGCAGAGGAACTGGAATTGTCCACTTTTGTACATGCTAAGGACTTAAAATGTTTGTTATTTTGTGAGCAGAAGCAGTTCTGGAGTGAATTGAACTTCTGAAAATGCGGCCATGGACTGGTTCCTGGCGTTGGATTATGCTCATCCTCTTTGCTTGGGGAACTTTACTCTTTTATATTGGTGGACACCTGGTACGAGACAGTGAGCATCCAGATCACTCTAGTCGTGAATTATCCAAGATACTTGCTAAACTTGAACGCTTAAAGCAGCAAAATGAAGACTTAAGGCGGATGGCAGAATCTCTCAGGTAGGATCTAAAAGTAATAAAAGCTTTTCAGAAAATGGTTATAAGAAATATAAAAAATTAAATTGAAAGAGTTGTTTGGTTTTTTTTTTTTGTAAAATCATGTTTAACATTTAAAAGTATAGAGAAGTGTTTTAACTAGTGCTATAACTAACTGAAAATATACTGCAAAAACCTTTAAACAAATAATGTACATTTAGTTTTGGTCTAATATAGTCATTTTTTAATAGTCATTATTTATTGTTGTCCAAGTGTTACTGTCGCGATAACAAAGTTCTGTAGGTGATTAACTCCTCACTGCCAACTTCAAACAAATGCAATTATTATGACGTTCAAACCAATTAGAACAGCTAGTGACTTTTCTACACTTCTGCTGGCAGTACCTGGAAGAGCTTGTTTTAAAAGTGCTGAAAACAGTTGTAGAGCTTGTTGAAGATAAATGTGGACTTGCTGAAGATGAGCTGCAGTAGACTTCTGCATTATATGAATTCTTTTAACTAAGTTTTTTTTTTTTTTTTTCCTTGCCTTGCTGCTAAACCTGTAGCAATACTTGTAAAATAGTAGGATCATCTCCCTTTTTATAATTACTTGTTACATTATAGATTGGTACAATTACAATTTAAAGTGTTTTCTTTCACCTTTTCAGACAGACAGCTTTTAACATAGACTTCTATCTCCTTTCCCAAGATGGTAATGTAATGTGATGAATTGCACAGTCATTGAAATACGACCAGTTCAAATTACACAGTGACTGGAAGAGAGTAAATGTTCTTGATTTTACTGATGACAGGGAACTCTCTTCCTCTCAAGAAGGAGGCAGTAGATACAGGGGATGCATAGGTACAGGCTAAGCTATATTTTAGGCAGTGATGGTTTTTCTAAACACCTTTCTTTGTTTCCCTAACCTATCTATATTCAGACAAATATTAAATTTTCAGTTGCCAATTTTTAAATAATAGCTTATACTGTTGATAATTTTCCACGATTTATAGAAATAAAAACATGAGTTTAGTTCTAATCTAAACATGTTAGAATAGAACATTCCAACATTCCTTCTCTATGCTTCAGTTAATTGCAGCAAGTTTCTAGAATTAGATAAGGTGATCCAAAACTATCTTAACTGGACTCTGTTCAGCTTCTTTTCTGTGAATATGTTGCTGAAAAATATTTCTTCAGAGTGGCTGTATGTAACCACAGGAGAATCTGAAGCTCTTGCATGAGAAAGCATAAAATGACTTTAAATACCAGTTTGAATGGCAACGCATCTCCAGGTTCAGTAGTCGGTGCGGGCCAGAAAAGAGCCAGCTTGGGACTGGAAGATATTCAGGCATAGTTTTTTGCTGGAAGTGATGTGACATTGGTGAAGAACTAGATTTGAGGGAAGTGATGTATCACAATGTAGAGCCTTTTCATTATTTTTATTGATCAAAATGCATGATACTGTTTTTGTAGAAACCTTACAAATAAATTTGAGAAATATCCTGGTCAATCTGCATCATTAAAGTGTTAAATCATAAATGTGATACAGAATTTCAGTATCTCATTTCTTTGTTTGCCAGATAGAACAAGTGGTGTTAAAAAAACCTGTTAGCTTTAAAATAGTCCCATTTACAGTTTTGTAGCGATACGGCTATTTAAAATGAGGCAGTAGCCAGCAGTCCATGGATTCAGTATCTGTGTCCTGGAAGAGATCACTGCTGCTATGAACATATATTAAAGAATCAAAACACCTCTTAACTTCAGAAATTGAATTAGAATTAGACAGAAAAGATGAATTTTGCTCCAGTTAACATCGTAAAGTGAAGACATAATTTGTTTTTGGCTTTACTGATCAAAGGCAGAAAGACTGGAACTATTATTTGAATATGATTTAATTGCTAGAAGTTTTGTTTTTGTACTGAAAACTCTAATTACTGATACTGGCTGTGAAATCGAGTGATTAAGATAACACTCTCTACATCAGTAGTAGTTCGTAAAGGTAAACCCTATTGCCAAGTTGGATTTTGTTACACTGAGGTAAAAACTTGTTTTTGCTGCCCTTCTCCACTAAGATTTTATATCTGGAGAACTAGAGGGTTTTTTAATTCCAACAGAAAAGAAACACGCTTTTTGCGGTGAAGATAAAGAATATGTTATGGCACGCAACAGGGTTAAGCTAATCCATGAATTTCAGCATATTTCAATAATAACTCTAACTTAAGGTTACTTTGGGAGGAGTTTAAAAAGGACAAGAGTGCCTACCTGGAAAATTGTAACAATAAACAGGCATCTGATTAACTACACTAGTTAAAGCATTTTGACATAATTAGATAAAACTTTTGGATGGTAAAAAGCTCCGAGTTAACAGAATCTATCTTAGTGAGTAAAGAAACTTTGTGAGTGGTAGAAAATTACCGTAGTATCTAGCTGTGCCATGAATAATAGCTAGTTAGGACAGGGAGGAAGGGACAGAAAGCAGGTATGGTTACAAGAATTCAGTAGTTTAATAAAAGTTGTAACAATTTCCATTTTGAGAAAACTGGTAATTTCATCTTCAATTGCATTGGGCCCTTAGTTATATGGTAAAATACGTTTCAATACAATACATTTCAATTGCCTAGCATTTCCCATTCTAATGGGTTCTTGTGATTTCTATGACTTTCTTCTCACCTGATAAAAGTGTCAGTCATGATGACTGGGATGCTTGAAAATAGGAGCTGGGCTGGGCTTAGTTTCATCCAGCCATCCTTGAAGGCCAGCATGCAATGACAAGAAGTGATCTTTCCACTTGGAGATTTGAATGCTCTTTTGCTGCCAATTTATGTAGAAGCTCCTCATCCCCAAAGACAACAACAACAACAACAAAGAAAACCAGAAACATGCCTTATGAAACACACCTTATGTGCATGCAAAATCAACCATTGAAAAGTTGAGAAATGTCATATCTGTGACAAAGTTTTGTAAAATCGTGCTTAGCCCTTTTTTGCTGTATGATACTTAAACCATATTTGATCTTGTAATTTTTCCCCTGTTGCTTCTTTTCAGATAGGATGCGTGAGGAGTAGAATTAAGGTTTTAGGGCAGTAAGAGGTCTTTGGTTGGTTGTTCCCCCCCCCCCGCCCTTCCCCCCAACATCTGTATGTTTGATTTCACAAACTACATCATGTTCTTCTGATTATTAGTAATAATAATAATAATTTTTATTATTGGTTAAGAATACTTGGTTAAGAATAGTTCATATTTTTGTAAGAATTTTTGGTGAGGTTATTTTGAGATACTTTTTCTTTAATATGTACCTTCGCAATAGTGCAGGTTGGAACAGTCACATCTTTTGAAAATTGCCTGAAATAAAAATACTCCTTTAGGAACTGAGTACACTTTTGTGGTGCGCTTCTGATGACTTGAAATGACTTCAGGCACCACTTCCTTTTTACAGTGCATTTGGAAAGCCTTAGGTGAGAAGTTACTGTAGTTTTTCTTCTGCCAGTGTGATGCTTTGTAAAAACCTTACTTGGGGGCTATAAAGAGGCACAGATGTATATTAGTGATGCAGAAGATAAATGGATTTAAAGATGTTTTGTATTGCCTGAGTTATAGAAATTATGTGCATGAATATTGTGGTATAATGAGATTTGGAGAGTTACCATAGTCCTTACATGTTTATAAACAATATTGTGTGGGCAAATCTGGGTTGATTTTAGAAGCAACCTAGATCCCATTAGTGCAAAATAGTAATGAAACTGAGGTTTTTTTATAGATTGTTATTTTACTATTCTATGTCCAGTAGAATTGGAAGAGCCCTTTCAAGAACACTTACGACAGATGTCATAGGTCTCACAGCAAAAAGGGAAATCTTTACTACAATTTTTGTAGTTATTTAAGGGAAGCTTGATAGGGAGTAATAATGAAATCAAAAGTATTACATAATGTTGTTTCATTGTTTGCCTGTAATGTAGTTTTACCTGAACATTTTATTTACTAGTAGGATTATGATATGACTGCTAAAGGCTGTCACGGTTGCATCTAGATGATATAAGGTTTTTAGGAGGAGGAGAGCTTAAAATTACTACTTTTGTAATGTCTAGTTGTCTTAAATGGAAACTGGAAAAGTTGCGTGTATGCTTTCATCTGTGTCCTAGACTTCCTTTTTTGCAATACATTAATGGTTCATAGTATGCATGTGCTCCTTTGTGTCTTGGTGGGTGATAGTCAAATTTTTATCTTGTATGTATATTAGTGGTATCCTCTCCTGGAAGATAAGCCTGGCAGTATAGGAACCAGTAATTTCAGAGTTCTCTTCAGGGAAATAGAGCATCTTGTTAAATGTATTCATATTGTGTTCATATTACTAATACATCACATTCCATGTATATTTACTTCTAGAGTCTATTAAATACTACATTTTGTAGAACCTGCAATTCTTTTAATAAATACAATAACCTGTTTCTTACCTGAATAGGATCCTGTGTTATAAAGTAGAACAGGAGTGGAAAAGGGCAAAATGTAATCAAACAAATAAAACCAAACACCAGTATTTCTAGACATCATTCTCGTAGTTCTGAGTGTAGCTTCAGAAAGAAGAGGTAGGATTTTGGTTTTGAAAGAGCACTATATTTGCTTTAATGTAGTTGGCGCTAAGGCTGGGATAGAATCCAAACTCAAGATCCGGTTAATCATAAGCAAATCTATTAAAGTACTTCTATCAATTACTCTGGGCTGTTATTGCGCCCAGTAAGCCTGTAGTAAGCATTGAAAGGGACTTGGATAAAAATTTAAATATTATTTTAAAGTACTGTTTTCTATCATGTGTATTTAAAGTGTCTCAGGTTTGAAGCTGAGTCTATTGCACAGGCCAGTGTGTGAGGGAAGAAAATCGCTGAGCTATATGGTGCGCATCTCTGCTCTTTTTATTGGCTTTTGTGCAATTCTGAATTAAGGGACACATCTTCAGGCGATATAAATCAGCACTGATTAGGGCTGTGCTGATTTAAATTGATAAGGGATGCTGATCACTCTTTATTTGCTGGTAACATTGAGTGTTTTCTTTCAGTTTTATTTACTGAGGAGGTTTTAACTTAGAAAGGTGAAGTGACAACTTATATTCCTTTTGTTTGTTTGCATGTTTTAGTGGTCATTAATAATTAAGCATCATTTTATTCTTGGGGGGGGGGAAAAAGTGAAAGAAGAAAAGCCAATCATAATGTGGCTTTATTTAGTTATAAACCTTCCAGCTCCATACAAAAAACTCAAAGATATAAATGACAGCATGAGATTTGAGTGTGAACTTATGAAATATTACATTTTTCCTTCTGCTGATAAATTAGTGTAACCTTTTAAATACCTTGGAAATAGGAAAAGGTTAGAATGGTTTTTATAATTTTTTTTTTTGTTTTGTTTTAAAAATTTTTCACAATTATTTTACACAGTATGGCAGTTCTTCCAGCTAAATTGAATGTCACTGCAATTAATTTTTGAGTGGTTCTTTTTGCCTTCAGAGATTCAGATTAGAGATTGCTACTTTGCCATTGCCCCTCTATGTTACCTGAAGATGATGAGAAAATGGCCTCAGTGATATGGATGATGTACACAAAATTCTTTTTTCTGTCTTTAAGTGTAGCTGGATTACTAAACAAGGGACTGGCTGCCTGCCTAGTTAAACCACGACAAAGCAGAAATGGGTTATCTCTACAACATAATCTTTTTGACGTTTAAAGTTATACAGTAATATCTTTATTTGATATGAGTTCATTATGGAAACGATCATTTATATTTACTATAAAATAGTAGGAAACAGCATGCAAAAATCACACCTTGTAAGTATTGAGAAAAATAATTCAAACAAAACCACTTGCTGTACACCACCACTTGGTGTATTATCATGTCTGCCTATGTAAGTTGATTATAATTTTGTTTATTGCATATTTATAACTTAATTTAGAATGTTGTCATAGCAATAAGTAAAGGATATTCTTTTCTAGATGCTTACTGACATGTTCTTTTATTGTTGGTTAGAATCATCATAGTTAAGATAAACTTAGTTTAAATTCACTTCTCAAATTTTAAGGAGCAAGTCAGTTGTCAGGACTTACTTTGGTATGAAAACTTACGTGTATGTTTTTCAGCAGATCATAAGTATGCACTATTCCTAGGATATTCTGCACTGCAAGTTATCTGCATAGATGATGCCATGAGTAGAGATAAGGATTTTAATTCAAACACTTCTTCCTCAAATGTTGCCTTATTTCCAACTCAGTTGATGTACTTGTAGAGGGCAGTAACAAGCAAGCTGTGCTGGTTGCAGAGAAGAATCTTTTCCTTAATTTTGAGACTGGATGAAAGTGAGGAAGACAGTAATTCCAAGTCTGATGAGGTAACAGATGTAGACAGAAAACTGCAAAAAGGATAAGTTATTTTAGTTTTATCCAAAAACAATGTTATTTTTAAAAGTCCAAACAACTAGCTTAGGAGAATGCTCCCCACCCCCATCCTAGCTCCTCTAATCTAACAACCTAAATGTAGTAAACATTTTTATTGCAGTATGGCAAAGCAAGCTGAATGTTAAATGGCATGTACTTTTCTCTTCTAAAATCTTAATTATATCAGTCAGAATTATTGTGCTTCTTTCATATCATCCACAACCGTCCTTTAGCAGGATTCTGTAATTGCTACTTTAACAGACTTTCCTTATGTTCAGAGAATGTGTGGGCTATCCGAAGATTTCCTATGGTAATGATTTTGCATCTTTTTACCTTACTGTTCTTCACAAATTCTACCTTTAGGGAATGTGACTTATACAAGATAAGCCATTGCATTTTTCCTGGTAATTTTGTGGTTAGTTGTCCTGTCACAATCCAAATTGTGATACCAACTTGACAGATCACAAATACATTTCAACCTTGTGGTTTTAAACTAGTGCAAGACTTCAAATATGTTTCAGTATGCTTTTTAAGGGTTTGTTTGTATTGTCTTTTACATGGCGATACAGTACCGTATCTCATTATAGTATCATACTGTGCATTTGTTGTAGAAACAAATTCACAAATACATTGTTCATACAGACGGAGTATATTTAGGGAGTGCACGTGTTTAAGATCAGAATATTTTCCTCAGTTTTTTCATGCTTGTTCCCTCAGTGCATAAAAAAACATGTATATGAGCAGTTATTGATAGTTCCTTTCTATTTACCATGGTAGCTTTAAAACACAAATAAATATTTTGCAATACTTTAATTATCCCTAATTTGCTGTCAATAGGGAGTTTTAAGAGTGCAGAATTTTTTTACTAAATTTCTGTCAGGCTACCTAGTTTCCTCTTCCACCTTTCCTACCCACCTCTGAAAAAAGGGGCTTAAATGCTGTGATTCGTGTGATATACCTTCCTTATGCTCATATTAGGTATTTATTCCCTTCAAACGTTCCAGTGAAAATGGACTTTTCATCAGTTCCTAAATTTTTATTGGTATTTAATTATCCAGATCTGAGACACATTAAAGTTAATGACATCTCAGTAGGATCTTCAGAATGTTGTCATTTCTGGTTTAGGGTGAGGATACTCCCTCTAACCACTATTTTCTCTATGCTAGAGGCATCTTTCATCTGGCAAGGCATCTTCCCGTATGGTACCTTGAAACTCTGTGTACGTGTGTGTGGAGAGAATATCCCTTTCTTTTTATGCTCATATTCCATTACGAATGAAGAATCATCTTCATGTTCTGCAAGAATTCTGTATTCCTTACAGTCTCAAGACTTTTTGTTACACATCTGCTTCCTTTTTTCCTTTTCAGGGTCAGCTCTTACAAAAGTCGTATAAAAGGTGGAATAACTTTTAATGCTTGGATCTACCAGAAGTGTCATTTCTCTAGAGATGAAAGGGGTTTTTATTTTCCCTGCATTAATTTTTGATTTGTGAGGCTAATAGAAGATAGCATCTAATATCTATACTTTAATAATTTCAGTTTATTAATATGTGGGTTCGAGTTGCGATGATGAGCAAACCTCAGTAATACCCTCAGAGCTGATTTATGGCTTATAGATTTCAGGATACATATTTCCATACTTCTCCTGTGCTCACATAGCAGAGATTTCACAAATGGATGTTAGAGTTTCTAGTGCTATTTTAGATGACCAGCAGTTTAGAATGCCAGAGTGGTCATAAAAATTTATCGTGATGGTACATTTAAGAAGCTAGGATCTTCTTCTGAGTCCAGAAAATACATTGAAATCATCTTGTGGATGCAGGAAGACTTAACTTAAAAGTGGAATTCCAGTGCTGGAGCTCTGGTCCTCTAAGAATATATGGCCAGCATTCAAGACCAGAATGTATTTCATGTGTGAATATAAAAGTAGCCAGAACATGAGTCTTATTAAGACACATCCCTCAATTAGGCTTTGCTTGTGTGCCAGTCAGTCCAACAAATGGTCACGGTTTTCCAGTTTCTCACAGGAAGTGAGTTAAGCTGCTGCAAATACTGCTTTCACAAGTAAAGCCTAGGACTGGTCTTGTCAATGAGTGGAAGTCTTGTAAACAGCACAGTTTAACACCAGGTTGAATCTGTGTGCTGCAGCTGTGTTATGCACTGTTTTTCTCCTATGGGATTGAAGTTTTAACATCTTTCTTTATGTTAATATGTTTAATTTCTTCTGGCTTTAAGAAAATGCCAAGAAGGCTTATCAGCAAAACAGTATGGAACAAACATGGGAAGAGAGCTGAATTGTTAATGCAAATAATTTATCAAATAACAATTATATTTATAAATCATATAATTTCTTTCTTTTCTATATCCTAGGATACCAGATGGTCCCATTGATCAGGGACCAGCTGCAGGAAAGGTACATGCTTTAGAGGAGCAACTTTTAAAGGCCAAAGAACAGATAGAAAACTATAAGAAGCGGACAGGAGATGGTTGGTAGATTTTCTTTTACTTCTAAAACAAGTTTTGGTATTCAGTATCCCAAATATATTCGTTTCTTAACAAGTAATTCAGCTACAGGTGCTGATGCTTTTATGCCTTTTTTTTTTTCCCCCCGCCCCTTAAATAGGAGGCCTTGGAAAAGACCATGAAATATTGCGGAGGAGGATTGAAAATGGGGCTAAGGAACTTTGGTTTTTCCTCCAGAGTGAATTGAAGAAGTTGAAAAATCTAGAAGGAAGTGAACTGCAAGGACGCATTGATGAATTTCTGTCGGATTTGGGTCATCAGGAAAGGTACTTGTATTAGTTGATTCTGTATATATGTTGTAAAGATTATGGATTAAGTAAACTACTGATACACTGCTTAAAAATCTCTTAGGATAAATTAGTGGTATGTGGGCTAAAATGTCATGTCTGAAGCCTGAACATAAAATTGTTACTTGTATTTCATGGGACATAAAGTATATATCCAGCTTCTGTCACTACAACTTAGAGTATGACCCTTTAACTTGGCATTTTTTTTTTTTTTTTTTTTATCAGAAGACCTGGATCCTGGCTGCCAGTTGTTGCTTTTCAGTTGCATCTATCTACATATGCGTGTATGTGCATACTTGTACATATAACAAAACCATTAAAAAACCTTAAAAATATTTATTTTAGGCATCTGATTGTGCCTTTCATAAATACTAGAATATAAGTTACATTGATCATTGGGATATTATATAATTGGAATTACTTTAAAATTGGGTAATATCTTAATATCAGGACTAATTGTCATTCTGAAAAGTCACTTCTTGTAGTTAGAATTTAACAGAGTATTTCAGATAGAAATGACCTTTAATTACACTGTCATTATCATGTTGTTCAAAGATGTGTTGGAATTTCAGTTGTTGATCTTCTGGCCTCCCCATTGTTGAAGTACCTTTTGTATTACACACAAACACTCTGTATGAGTTTTGTTCATGGTGAACAAAATTAATCCAGGAAGTGTTAAAAATTCAGTAAAATCTGTCTGTAAGCCTGTTATATTTACAACTCTGTTCCCAATAGGATTGCAATGGCAATTTGAGTCTTGTTAGTAAGCAGTCATAAGAAAATAGTTGAATTAACTAAATATACCACCTTAAACAAATATCTCTTTCCCAAAAAAGCTGAGATCTGCATGTGTGAACATCAGTAGTAAAGCATGAGCCTTTGAAAATAGTACTGTAGTAAAAGGAAAAATTAGTAAGAATTTTCAATTCTTTGGAAATAATGTAAACATTATTTAAAACATAGTTTTAAAATAATATAAATTTGATTATTAATATGGGCAAATAATTTAGTCCATTAAATTTTGTAATTTAATCTTCCACAATTCCAAAACCTAGTTTGTCACCGATTGATAGAGTTTAAAGTGAGAAGGGACCATTCAATTATTGAGAGTTATTATCTATATAGAATAGGCCATTACGTTTCATCCAATTATTTCTCTGCTGAGTGAAATTATGTATGTTTGACTGAAATAAAAGTAGTGCTTGGCTGAAGCAGAGTTTTCCAAAAGACTTGAGATCTCCAGTTAAACAGTTAACTGACAGAGAAGCTGCCACTTCCCTGGACAGTTTGTTTCAATAGTTACCGCCGCTCAGAAATATTTGTTCTCCAGAGAAGTTATTTCCATTTGGATTTCTTGGACTTCAGGTCATTGATTCTTGATGTACCTTTTAAACTATCTGTGCCAAAACTGGAGCAAGTAGTCTAATGCCAGACTTACTGATGTCCATCATGGGAGCAAAATCACTTGTGTACACATTACTGCTCTGTTTATATAGCCAGGATCACATCAGGCAGTTGCCACAGTGGAACCATGAATAATGTTGTGTGATTGATGCCAGAAGGTTTTTATGTCCCTGCCTCCCAGAACGAATCCTTTTCTTGTTCCTTTCCTTCCTACACCAAAGACTATTAATTCATTAAGCCCAACTTGCAGGTTTCTCTATTTCTGACAGCCTTATCTTCACATCTCTCTGTACTTCAGCATTTTGCATTGAATAATAAAAGTCTGCATTGTAGACCTCTGGAAGTTATGACATGAATCCCACTGTGGAAGTCTGAAACCACTGTGGTACTGGAAGAAGTTTGTATATGATGCAAGCAATCACAGCTGCTCTTTTTTTTTTTTTTTTTTTTTTTTTCCCTTTATTTAAGAATGTTCTTGTTCAATAAAAGTGTTCCTCAGACTGACACAGTGGTTATCAAAAGCAGAACGTCCTGGAGTCTGTTGAGTCTTAGTAGTAGATCTGTGTAGATCTTCCTGGTGGTGAGGTCCCCAAAGAAGACTAAAGTCACTTAAACTAAAACCAAACAGCCAGAAACTAGGTTTTATTAAAATAAAATGTAGACAAATTTTTTTTTTTACAATATGGAAGTTCAGAGCAATTGTGTAAGAGAAAAGAGATACAAAAATGTTTCTACAATATTCAGCCTGTGTTCTTGGTGTATTTACAACATTGGCTTCGGGCAATAAAATTGCCTTGTGTTGCAGAATGCTCTTCTTGGTTGCCTCTAGTTCCGAGGGTGTGCATTCTTTCACCTTTGAGGTCAGGCTGTCTGCTTCATTCCCTTGAATCTTTCGGTCTTACTGCGTGAGTTGCAGGAAGACTCCCAGCTCCTTGTGTGTGCATCCTTTGGCCTGTGCTGCACTGCTGTCCCTGGGGTGTTCTTTTCCCGAAGGATGGACCTTAGCTCCCAAGGGAAGGAGCGGTCTCTTTTTCCCTCCACACAGTCCATCTGGTCTCTTCTCTGGAAAGGAACATTACATAAGTTTAGAATGAGCAAATCAGATGCTCTCATTCACTCTGAGAATCACAGCTTTTTGGTGGGTTTTTTTGTTATTGCGGAGTTTTGTTTTGGTTTTTTTTTTTTGAGGCATATGTGGACTTGCTTTTTTAAAGGGATTTAACAAGTTGCCGAATGCCCTTTTGTTGACATTGCTGTCTTAAAATTTGTTACCTATGTATCTTAGATAAATGGAACATTCCACGTGAGGCTGGTATTATTTATTTTTATATATATACATAAACATATCTCTTAGATATTTTAATATGTATTATAATCTAGTATTTGGATTAGAAAGATTAGTGTTAATAACAAGTGCTTAAGGCAGTTTGTAATGCCCTCCTTATGTGGGAAAGCAGATAAAGGGGTGGGTAGTGATCAAATGATGAGATAGCTATGTAAGGAAAGTGGCTAATTTTTTTGTTTGTTTGTTTGTGAGGAAAGCCTGTTGTGTCATCGAGAAGACTTGCTTTTTAAGTGGTGATAAAGACAGTTTCTGGATAAGCAGTATTAGCGTTCTTTGTTAATCTTGTTGTTGTTATGCAAATGGTCTACTACTAATATGATCGCGTTTCCCCCATTGGATGCCTTAATCGCTATTTCTTGGCTGTGTCCTAGGGGTTGTGTAGATTTTCTCCTGGAAAATGCTGGTCTTGGCAGGTGTTTTTGTCCAGTATTTCACTACTGATTCTGTTTAAGAAACAATGTAGGCCAATGCAGAGTTTCCTGCCTTATGGCATGTGTAATTGTATTCTTGTGGTTGCCATTGGGAAGCAAGTTGTTGAGACTATTTGATACAGAGTTTACATAAAAGAACAGGTTAATCCTCTAGTTGTCCTGGTTGTTTCCTATGTCGGCATTATGTGGTTTGCAAAGTGCCTGTTACTGAGTTGGTTTCATTCCTTCTCCCGGTGAACAGCTGTCGCCAGGGCTTTTACTGTAGCTGGCCAAGGTTTGATGCATAGTATTTGGGCATATTTTCACATTATTTCCTTTGAATTTGTTGGAATATATCACAGTTTCTTTTTCTTCGAGTTTTTATTTGTTGATGTAAAGTTTCTAGGAGGTTTAAATGTAATTTTGTCATATGGCTGGAATAAATGTCTACACCGATCTTTAAAAATGTGTTAAAAATGCCCGCCCTCCCCCCTTTATTTGTGACAATCAAATGCAGATGAAATATAGAGCCAGATTCTTTACTCCATGCTATTTTCCAGGAGCAAAATGCTTTTAAGAGCAGCTCTGAGATTTAATTTATGATATGAAACAGAAATAACAAGAATAAATTGATATTGTTAGTTAGTAACACAATGAAAGACCAAGTTTGACTTACAATGCCACTGCAACGTCACTGTCTGAAATTGTCTTTCTGCCATTTTGCCACCCACGATAGCTTCTAATAATCCTGATCAGGCTCATCTTTTGTCTACACTTAGCTATCTTGGGCTCATGGATCACCAGTCCACCTACTTTTTAGCTCTCCAGATGGAGCCTGACTCTGGTCTTTGGTATTAGTCTGTCTCTTCTAAATCTGTATTAATAAGCCATTGTGATGGTCTGCCACACTCAAAAGAACCTAGCAGATGTAAACCTAAAAAATGCACATTTCGCAGCAGGAGCAATCAAAGAAGGAAGATCTCTGTGACTGAAAGTGTGTTAAAATTGCACTACCCTATAATCATTTCTGTGTGATAACACCTGTGAATTTTTCAGTTCCTGGTTTACTTCAAAGTTTTGTACGAGTAATTTTTTTTAAAAAAAGATTATGGATACTATCTGAAAACTCTTGCATGAATTCATAAAACTTCCCACAAATTATTTGATATTCTTTATGGTTTGTACTGAGCAAAGCTGCCTTTCCCTAAAGTGTTGAGTCATTTAGGCTGTGTAAGGACTCTCTCATTATTCCTCTTACCTCAAAAATGATGGAAAATGATTATATTTCATCTGTAAGGCTGATTATTTAAACTTACCTACTGCCTTTGCTTTGTCATGGTCAACAATATAAAAAATAAAATTTAGACAACACTTTTTTTCCTTAGGAATAGGAAAAATTATTTAACTGCTGAGAGGGAAAACATTTTTTTATTGGTGGGCTTTGTATTTTCATTTATTTTATGCCAAAATTTAATAGAAATATGTTTCTATAAAGTAAAAGGAGAGCATGCTGATTACTTACATCACAAGTACAGAAAAGATTTTTTTTTTTTTAAGGCCAGTGAGAGTGTTTGAAAATTATTTTAAATGTGGCTGTGTTTGCACAGCTGCTTTTAATGATAGCACAGGATTATTTTGTAGGTTTAGACCTCAAATTTATAGTTTTTCTTTAAACATCCAGCATGATTGCATCCTGATTGGGAAGAAAAATATATTTAAATTCCCAAGAAAATGCATGGGTTTCCTTTTTTAATTTGCCTACTAGCCTGTAATGCTTTCTATAAATTGGAAAACACTGCCTTAAGAGAAGCGGACTCTTCGTCTGTTCAGTTATTTGTATATAATCCATTGTATTAGATCTACTACCTCATTAATTCTGTTCTAATTGTCCCTAAACTGTGTTTGCATGTTATTTTGAGTATTATGCATTTTCAAAAGTTAGTGATTCAAAACTAGTTACCTGATAATACTTTAAATTGTTTATTTTTCGTACAAAGCCAGAGTAGGGTGTTTCAAGCTCAGTTATCTTGTAAAAGAAGATCCAGCTTATATAGTTTGAGATTAGAATACAAATATGGTACTTCCAGTTGATTGACAGAAGGTGAACATTACTGCTGCTGAACAATTTGGGTATAATGTATTAAAATACAGCAACTGTAGATGATAGAGTAAGTCAGTGTCACTGTTATCCTGTGTAGAATTATCCTGTGTAGAAGTATGGGTACGAAAAACAGAATGAGTGTATGAGAATGGAAAGATATGGATACATAAATCCAGTTATTAGTGAGAGAAGCTGATAAAGCTAGCTCTGTCCCAATTTGATTTATCTCAATATTTACCGCTTAAATATTGTGTCTTTGGAAATAGTTACCTAATAGAGGTACATCGTCTGCTCCTCTCTCTCACTTGCTAAGCTTATTTACAAGGGACAGCCTTAGCTAACAAGTGCTGCCAACAATGGTGTCTTGTATTACTTCACTGACAAGACCACTTCAAAGGTTGTTAGGAAATATGCTTGTCTTCCCCCCCACTCTTTTTTGTCACCTCCCAAATTTCTCTGCCTTTGTTCTGTTGCATCTCTTCCTAGTGATCAAATTTGTGGCTTATCAAGAATTCAGGCAATAAATTGCAACATCTGAAGTTCAGATGAAAGAATTGAGAAAAGTGGTTCAAACTTAAAACTTTAGCATTGTTATGGAGAAATGTTTAGCAACTTTAAATATTCTCAGTCTATAAAGCCACCTGAAATTATTGGTTCTGAATTGGGCTACCTGTTACTTGTTGAATAGCCATTGATGTTTTTACAAATATTTTGAATAGTTTACTTCTAGTTTTGTATTTCCTCCCAAAAGCCACAGATATAAAAAAATCTTTTCCTGGGTGTTACTGTTTAGGCTGTTTTTCACAAAATTCCTGGCTAATCTCAGAAAATAAATGTCATATACCATTTTTCTTCTCATGACACAGAGTTCTTTATCCTCTTATGTGGCCACTGAAATGTGATAACCCTAAGAAGAGAATCTCTAGTGTATTAGAGAACCTCAATTTAATATTTGATAGTGCCTTAAAGTTAATGTTTTGTAGTCTAGACTTATATGGCCATGAGTCTGTTTTGAATTTCTTGTTTTTTTATTTTTTTTCCATTTGGGTATTAGTAGCACGCAGTCATTCTAAGCAGGCAGAACGCTTCCTTCTTCCAGAGTCAGAAGGAGCAACATGCCATAGAAAATACTATTTACTAGACCTTGTAATAATAATCTGTAGTTAGTTTTCAGTAATAAAAATAGAAGGATTACTGTTGTACCTCTGCTAAAGACATTTGTAATATTGTATTCTGTACAAGCGTAGTAAGATGATTGTAGGAGGCAAAGTAACAATGTGTTACAATAGAAGCTACTGTAGGAATCAGTGTTGCACTTTCATCTGGGGCCACTGGATAATGTATCCAGCACGGAACTATTTTTTCTTTTTCGTTTCCTTTAGCACATATCAGAAACAAATGCTTTATAGCCGTTTTTCTGACCCATCTACTGTCTGGTGCTATAATTACTCATGGGTATGGAACATACGTTAAATGGAGGACACAGTCTTTCTTGGCTACTGTTTGGATTGTGGGGTAGGAGGTGGCATGAAGAAACTGTTTTTGAGGCTAGAATTGAAGTATCTGTTTAATTTGTCTTTGATTTCATCTAATCCTCCAATTTAGTAATGTTGAGATTGTTTCCCATTTTTTTCAGATTGTTTTCCATTGTTGTTTACAGGTCAATAATGACCGACTTGTACTACCTCAGTCAAACAGATGGAGCAGGAGACTGGCGAGAAAAAGAGGCCAAAGATCTAACAGATTTGGTGCAGAGGAGAATAACTTATCTACAGGTAAGAGGGTAGAGCTTTTAAATCAAGGTAAACATTTATTTATTTATTTTCAAATATATATATAGCACTTAGCTATACCCTTGTAGTAGATTAATTACATGACAGTTTTAAGTGAATGTTTGTATATGAATGAATTACATATGAAAGAAATTAGAACTGTTTCAAACAGTATTTTATGTGTATATGGAATGATAGTATTTCAAGCAGATCTTTTTTTTTGGGTGGGTTTCTTGGGGGTTTTTTTGTTTGTTTGTCCGTGGTTTTCACTGGGCTGCACTTACCTGTTTGGATTCTTTGCTTTATTATAAAAGACAAGTCTCTGGTTTCTATTTTTGATTCTTTAGAGTATCACAATGCATACATATGTTTATACAGTGTTAGACATAGAAATATCAAAGTCCTTCTATGAAACTTCTGAACAAGCAGCCCATTTTTAAAAATATGAGTATGCAGAATTGAAGTAGTATATAGTATATTGTCCAGTCCTAGACTGTTTCAACAGTTGTGTGAGATTTCTCATAGATGCTCGTATTTGTGAGTGCATAAAGCCTTTTTAATGTATGTGCTTCTGTGTGTCTATAGAATTTAAACAAAACTTTATCTGAAGATTTTGGGACTTTTATTCATGTATGAATGCATGCAGCTATTTATATAGTGAGCAAAAAGATATTTGATGTAGTCTGTTTTATTTGTACTTGGTTTGTTTTTCCTTGCATGTGTGCACCTCACTGCTCTGTTTTATATGATCGTCCCTAATGCCTGATCTTTTCTGTATGTAAATAGCTGAATTTGTTTCTCAGATTTTCATTATTTCACATTTCACAGTTCCGCTATTGGAACCTTCTCTTCTGTGACCAAACTATGTATTTGTTGCTTGTTAAATAAAAAAAGACAACCTTTCATGGAAAAAACTCCCTGTAAATTATGCAGGAAACATCACTTTATTGTCTTCCTTTAACTCCTTGAGAACTGTTCCTCATTCTTTCATTTTTGATGTCACTGTTTGGCAATGGTGTACTGTAACTACTTTTCATGGTGATAAATATGGCCTTTCTCTACTTTTTTCTTTTTTCACGATATCAATTTATTGTCTTATCTAAGATCTATACGTTTCTGGAGAGTGATTGTCTTCCTATTGTACGTTTTACAGTGTTCAGGGCCTTAGTTCAAGACTAGGAGCTCCAAGTATGTACAGCGAATAACAAAAGTAAAGGGAGTTTAGGAGAACAGAAGCTCAAAATTGAAGCATTAAACAAACGCTTACATTGTTTTCTAGTGAATTTGAAATAAATTTGCTTACTGAACGAAGAGCTATGGGAGCACAATTAGCTCCTCCTAAAATTTATTTAGATGTGTATAGTCTATGATAAAGGGCTTTCTCTCTATAGAGGTAATTTATTCTCATTTTAAAAAAACATAGAAACAATATTAAAAATGAAACCAGTGCCAAGTCAAAACACATATAGAATCCTAATATTTCATATTTGTAGCACAACTAGTTAAAGCCTTTCAGAAAGTGTATTATATCCTTAGGCATTTCTAAGAAAAGTAACTATCTTTATCCTCATTATCTTGAGAAGAAAACCTGATGATGAGCATGAGCAGGTGATTTACAGAAAGTTGTAGCATTAGGTTCAGAATTAGAATTAGGTCTAACATACTTGGCTCAATTTCCATCATACAGGCCATTTTTGTTTCTGTTTTATGTATAGTTTTTTAAAAAAGCAATCAATAATAAAATTTCTGTCACGGGAAGAACTGAACTTTTTTTCATATCTACGCATTTAAAATGTAAAATCAATCATTATGGATTTATCTTGTAACACTGAGAAACACGTAAGAAAATCAGTATTTCCCTCATTTTTTTCTTTTATTTTTAAAAATTTCTAGTATTTTCTACAATTACATTGTTTTTTGTTTTTAATAAGTCATCACTGGTAGATTATAGAAATTAGAAACATATAACTGTATTACTGCTGCATATCAAATTCCATATGAGTGTTTCACATGGAAGGATCTAGAAACAACACAGAAGGGACATGTGTTTCCTCAGTAATTGTCTTTGAGTTTAAGTTGAAGAATGGTGATACGTATTTTCCAAAAACTGTAATTCTAGCTTTGATAAATGTTGATATTTTTAGCATTATAACTGTGCAGGTCATCAAAAGTAGCAATAAATTCTTGGATTTAACAAATATGCAGCAACACATTAAAAATTATTTGGGTGTTTTATGAACAAATAATATTACACTGTGTATTCTATATGTCTTTAAGGTTAGTTGAAACGTTTTAGCTGTATTGGATGCTCGGTTTTTGTTGTACTAAAATGTGAAATAGAAATATGTGATGAGCCTTCTCTCACAGAAATATGTGATGAGCCTTCTCTCATAAACTGTTCTTTCTTTCATATGCTTACTGTGTTTCTTTCTATTAATCTCTTTTCAGACTAAACATACCTAAAATTTTCAATCATTCTTCATGTGTGAGAATTTATGATACCTTTCATTTTTTCTTCCTGATGTCTTCCCTTAACACTAATTCTTCACCAGGCTATTAGAAGTGAGCATCTACTAGTTGACAAATGACAGCAGGCTATTGATTTATAGAATAGCACCAAAATATGTTTGGGGTTTTTTTTACCTTGTTTTTTATGCAGTCTAAGGAATTACTTAGCTAATAAAAGGTCTCCCTTGAGTTCATGTCACTATGGAGCTATAGAAAATGATGCCTGAGATTTTTAATTCAGCTGAATTTTGAAACTTGAATATTTTTGTATTTATACAAAATTTCACTTTTCATGAGTCATGCTTGCTTTGGTTAATTTCTTCTGGTATTCATGACAATCTTCTCTAGACTTGACTAATTTAAAATTTCTTAGACATTTAATTTAATGGCTTTGCTTTTTACCAGTTCTTCTTCTTCATGCATGAAAGTACTAGTCCCGCTAAGATAACTACAGGCTGTTCCTCTGTGTTTTTGCCATTTCTTGCTCCTTTTTATAATCTGGTTTTGATCTTTGACTGTAGTTTGTCCCTTACTCCATGACTACTTTTGTTTCTTTGAAGGTTGTTTGCTAAAAGACAAAAAAAAAAAAAAATCAGAAAAAATTACACTGTAGCAAGAAACTGTGGATAGGATGGTTTAGTACCTACATATGTTTATGGATGATCATTTACCTCCAGGTGTACACTATTACCATCATTCACCTAAGAGTCAAACCCCAAAGCATGGTAATTCTCCATATGTGCAACATTGCCCAAAGTTGGGTTGGAAACCTAGCCAACTCTTCAAAGATAGAAAATATTTTTTCTCATGAGTAGTTGCAGTCTTTGAGAAGAGTCATTCACATTTACAATAACTACCCTCTCTCTTTTCCTTTTTGTTCTCATTCTTCTATCTGAAAAAAACCGAGGATGCAATCTCTTGCCTACATGCCTGTAAGCCAGACATAAGTTTTTGGAACCCTTCTAAAGATTAAAATATCTCCTATCTTGAATGATTGTTGCAAGTAATGATCCAAAACTGGAATATGTCTGTGACTACACATTTGAAAGTCAAGTTGACTGACTTACTGGTGTGGGTTTCAGGATTTTGAAGGGTACAGGGCTGACTGTAAGTATGCAATGTAAAGCAGACTGTAGTCTGAAATTACACATATACACCTCTATTCATAATATAACTGTATTAAAAAATAAAATAAAATAAAGAATTCAACAGCCTTTGCCCCCCAACTCCATGCCAAAAAGAACTATTTGGAACATATTTGTAATTTTTTTTTGTGAAGAATAAAAGTACCGTATAGTTTTCTTTCTGGTACATGTTGAACAGTGACAGCTGCATTATTTTGGGACATCTCCCTGGGAAATCATTTAGCTGAATGATTGTGAATAGTGATGACTGCTACTTCATTTGGATGGCATTACCATAAATTTGATTTAATGAGGCTACATTTAGCTAGTTCCCTGTAGCTAGAGCAACACTTAAAAAGCTAGAAGCTTACATTTAAGCAAAAGACCTTATTTTCAGAGATATTCATTATTAAACTATTGAAGAGAATGTGCAGGAGAAGTCAGACAAGGCCTCCTATAGTACTGTGTATTCTGGAAGTGGTACAGTGAGTAAATGATTATGAAAGCAGCAGTTTGTTTTCTTCCCCTTTCCTTTTGTGCTTATTTTTGTTCTATTTATTTTAGGAAGTTTGTGATTCAGCATGCAGTCTCCCAATAGCAGAATATTTTTGCCTCCAATTTTTAAAAAAATCAAAACATTTTGTTCAACTTTGAAGGTTAAAAATATAAGCAGGTGAGAAAGGTTACTAAGTACTCAACATCATCAATTATAACAGTAATAATTTGCCATATTCATACTATTTAGTTGGGATTGTGTATGTATGCAAAGAAAAGAAAGTGGCTTACAAGACTTTATTCTGAGGTTTCTGGATTTCCCAGTATTTTCGGTGATTTAATGTGTCACTTAAATTTTTCTGTCTCAAAGTGTATTTAAATCCTCTTTCTTTCCCTCCCATTAAAATTAATGATATATATCTTTAATCAAAATACTCATGCTTAAAATGACAACAGCAACAACAACAACAAAAAAGGCTCTGGGCACTCTGCATATGTGCAAAGGGATGTACCCTTCACAACTGTAAGTCTTGAAAAGTGTAAACTTGTATCCTTCAATAATTCAAATCTAATGTATTATATCTTTTCCCAGTTATTCCACATCACGCATGAGAAACAAATTGTAGTGTGTTGTGGCAGTCGTAGTGTGCTGTTGGTGTTGATAAATTCAAACTAATTTGAAACAAAGATAAAAGTAAATTCCAGAGTGGAAAAAATCTCATAGAAAATTCTTCATCAGCATTTACTTTTTTTATGGGGAAAGAGAACACTAGCTGAAGGACTTCACCTATGTGTCTGTATGGGCACTTGTTCTGGAAGAAGAGATGATTTCTTTAGTGGGCAGACCTTGTAGCACTTCAGTTTTCTTGTGGTAGA